ATATATATATATGTATATATATATATTTAAAGTTCACTGTGCTTAAGTATGAAATGAGTGTAAGTTCTTAAGTATGAAGTAGTTATTTAAATGGAATATATGTTAAAATAACAAGTTTCAGCCAGGATCGATGGCTTATACTTTACTCCTTGTTACTTGAGAGGCTGAAATCAAGAGATCAGGGCAAGCAAAAAACTTTGAGACCTCCATCTCAACCCATCTGTGTGTGTGGTGGTACATGTCTGCCATCCCAGTTGCAGTGTAAAACATACATAGTAGGATCAGAATCCAGCGCAGGCTGGGTAGAAAGGGAGACCTGTCTCCAAATACAACCAAAGCAAAAAGAGTAGGAGCTATGCCCAAGTGGTAGAGGGCCACACAGCGCGCACAGTGAACATGAAGCCTTGATTTCAATGCCCGCCCTCCCCACTAAAGAAAAAAAGTGACTTTTGAGGCACCCTAAGAAAATTGGTAACCTCTTTTCCCTAAATCCTTTGTGATGTTAATTACACTGTTCACATCTTTTCCTGTTTTCCTGACAGTGACACTTAAGTTATTTAAACTTTTAATTAAATTTTAAAATTCCTTGTGTATTTATTCATGAGAAGGGAGCGTTAGAAAATTTCACAAAGGAAATAAACTAGGGATTTCCAGAACTGTAAATGTGAGCTGTAGAAAGACAGCTTAATTTAATTGTATGTATGTATGTATGTATGTATGTATGTATGTATGTTTGTTTGTTTGTTTGTTTGTTTGTTGTGCTAGTCCTGGAGCTTGAACTCAGGTCCTGAGTGCTGTCCCTGAGCTTTTTTGCTCAAGGCTTCAGCTCTACCACTTGAGTCACAGCTCCACTTCTGGTTTTCTAGTTAACTGGAGATAGGAGTCTCACAGACTTTCCTTCCCTGGCTGGTTTTGAATGGTGATCCTTAGATCTCAGCCTTCTGAGTAGCTAGGATTTCAGGTGAGAGCTTATCCTTGACCACAAAAATTTAGGAACAGCGCCCAGGCCTTGAGTTCAAGCCTTTGGACTGGCATACACACACAGACACAGACATAGACATATACAGACATAGACATAAACATACACATAGACACAGACAAACACACACACACAACACACACACACACACACACACACACACACACACTTAATCCAGTTGCGCTGAGAGGAGACAGTTGGGTTTCTGGGGCTGGAATGACCAGGCCATCATCGGTGCGTCTCTCCATATACCAACCCTGTCTTTAGGACTACATTTCTTTTTTACCCTTTTAACCTAATGCTTTTTCCATTCTGTCCATGGATGTAATACTTTCCCCTCTGTGGGCACAGAAATCCCAGTCCCTTGCCAACAAAAATAATATTGTAACCATCAAAGCCGCACCATGTAAATACATGCTTTTGCACTGGGCCTTGGAATAGCTTCTTCTTTTTAAGCAGATGTGTTATTTTAAAGCAATATTTTATGAAAAGCACTTGAAAAAAAAACTTCTTAAAATCATTCTGTGGCTGATGTAAAATAATCTTATATAGGTTGGGGTTTAAAGTTCATTTTAGATTGTTAAGGCTGCAATTCCTGAGGGAATGCCATGTGCCAATCTCTGGATTTTTTTTTTCTTTTTTTCTGCTCAGATTCCAGGGAGTGGGTTTTCCTAATTTCCCTCCTGTTTATTACATTTCTGCTAGGATTAGCTTTCCTTCTTTGAGCCAAGAAAGACATTGAAGGTCTCTGTATTGAATCTGTAAATTTCATTGCATCCTCCTAGCTCCGCCTGGTGTTTGCAGTTCGGAGTTGTGATTATTTTACAATCTCTTTCCTATGATTTGAGTTGGGCGGTCAGGAAGGAGGAGTTCAGGTGTGTGTTGGTTCTCTGACACTTGTCCTGCTCAGTGAGTTCTTGTACTGTCCCTGCTTGGGCCTGCCCTGAATGCGTGCCCACAGCTGCTGGTCCGGTCGCCTGCTCGGTGTATTTCACAGCACGTGAGGATTGCAGTTGTGGACTACATGTGGCTCTCAGTGACGTGTATGGAATCCTGCTCCGATTGAATAAAATACTGCATTAGTCACTAGTAGTCTCATTCTCATTCTCAGGTCAGGCTGAGGTAACTTCACAGAATACATTTAGTGTATCTGCATTTTGGCTACAACTCATCACGTAAGTTCAGTCATGGTGTTTTCTACTTGTGATGTCACTTAAGCATTCAGAAGATTTCAGATTCTTGAGCATTTTGGATTTTGGATTCGAGATGTTCAACCCATGGCACAAAGGGGATGGGAGGGCCAGGCCCGATGTGTTCAAGGCTGACACGATTCTGCTGAGCGGAATCTCCAGCCTCTTTCTTACTAGTTATTTATCAGAGAGCGTCTTATTTCCCACCCAGGCATGTACCTGATGCACGATGCACCTACTGTTGGCTCCCTGTCCTGTGATCCCAGGGATTGTGTACCACGTGTCCAGTTTTCCTTCTGTGGAGATAGAGTTTCAAGACTTTTCTGCTTAGGCTTATTCTCACAATTCAGCCTCCCGTGTGTCTTGGGATGACCAGTATGTACCAGACTGCCCAGGAATGGCTTGAGAGTGGGGCCTTGCTACCTTTTCTGCCCCAGCCTTGAACTGTGATCCTCCTAGTATCAGCCTCTCAAGGAATTTGGATTACAGGAATTTGGTTCACTGACACCCAGCAATTCTAAACACAATTTGTCCTATTTAGTACTTTAATAGCTTTAAGTCTTCTTCAACACCAGTAGTCCAAGGATAAGCTCTCTCTATCTTGTTCACTATAATTTTAGTTTTTAATCCCAAAGCAAAAGCTATTACGGAATAACTTAGTAGATGAAGTAACATTTTAGTGAGATCTCAGTTTTCTACATTTCTTCTCTACAGTGAAATTTAAAGGTGGAGGGTAGCAGGCCAGGTACAAATATCTTGTTCAAGTGAAATGTTTGGCTGTGCAAAGCCATCTTTTTTTTTATTTTAGTGGATAATTCTATGAAAACAGGGCTTTTGATCTGCATGTAGAAAAACCAGACTTATGTCCGTTAGTTGGGGTAATATGTCTGAACCTAAAGCACTTCGAGTTTTAACAAGAGTGATGCATCACTGCCACATGAGAATTAGTTACCACATTATGGTTAGATTATTTTGGAAATTTTTCTATCTGTCTGCAAGTGTCCAGCTCTGCTTCAAATCAGCGTAGTGGTACAAAAACACTGACTGCTGCTAACACTTCACCTTTGACTCTTCAGCTGTTGAGGTTTTGTGGTGTGGGTAGAATCTGTACACAGCTTCAGACGTGGAAGGAAGCTTCGAGTTCCTCTAAGCTAGGTTTTTGACTGAGTTGACAAGCAGGTGAGACTCTTATTCTGTTTACCTCAAAAAACTTGAAATAGAGACCGCTAGAGGTGCTATGTGTGAGTGATTGCTTATTTAGGCCTGGTATGTCTCCTCTCTGACTTCAGCTGTCTTTAATCTGTGAAGGGAGCCTGTGACTCTGCCTTGGTGCATGGGACCAGCAGAGTTGCCACGATAACTTCCTACAGAGCCCAAGCTTCCATTTAAAATCACATATCTATGTCCGTAGGGTTTCCATAAGATGGGATTTATTTCAAATGATCATCTCTGCTGTGATAGTTCCAAATTGCAAGCACTTTATTTTTGCAGTCCACATTTGCGTTTCCTGATAAAACACACAGAAACGTTTGGGCCCACAGCAAGTATTATTTACTATGTATTAAGTATTCATTATTTATTAAATATTATAATGATGACTCCCAGATTATTCAAAAGGAAACACCCCACAAGTTTGAAAAGAAAAAACGCACCAAGTGGTATGGTGCTTACATCTTTTAGGTCAGAGTATTTAAGCTTTAGCTTGGCCTCACTGCTCCTGATGGGTGTGGCTTGAGCACACGGCTCAGCTGAGTGGGCGTGGCTTGGCCTCACTGCTCCTGTGTGGGCGTGGCGTCATTGTAGGTAAAATAGAGATGCAGCTGGAAACCAGGGCAGGACTCTGCAAAGGTTTTCTTCGGGAATGAACCAACAGCAGTGGAGCTGTGTAATTGTGTCCACAGCAGGACCTCAGTTCTGCCCTCCCTGAAAGCCTATGTGGTGCAGCCGTGTAGTTAGAACTGATGCCCTTTCTATGCTGGAAAGGCGATGAAGACCAGGTTTTGTCCTAAGTAAACTAATTTTATCTGGCACCCATGGGGCCTACCCGGCATCATCACAGGTAGAAAGCCAGGCACTGGCGGCACATACCTGTAATCCTCACTACTCAGGAGGCTGAGATGTGGGGATCTTGTTTGGGGGGCCATTTCAGACTTTTATCTCCAGTTAACTACCACAACGCTAGAAGTGGATCTGTGCCGTAAGTGTTAGAATGCTAGCTTTGAGCAAAAAAGCTCAGGGACAGCATCCAAGCCCTGAATTCAAGTCCCAGGACCAGCACACGTGCGTGTGCATGTGCACATACAGTAAAATCAGATGTCTAACTGTAAAGCCTTAGCTTAGCCTCACTGCAAAATTTAAAACAATAAGTTCCAAACATATCCAAAACTTCACTAGCTGCGTTGCAATTCTAAGCAAGCATTTCCTGGGTGCCTCATTTATGGAGTGGAGTTTTGTCATAGATTTCAAGACTCCAAGAGTAATTAGGTAGAAAAATCTAATGGCATTAATGACTCTTTTGTCTCATACTGTATAACTGAGAGGAAACCGATGCACAAAATTCCTTCTCATTGAGTTGCAATTCACAGGTCGGGCCACACTCTGTGCTTATTCTTTGCAGCATCAGATATGTCACAGGATGTTCTGGGAACTTCTGTAGCAGCATAGTGAGCTTTTGTGGCAGAACTTTGATGTCATGGCTTGCGAGTGTCACCTCCTCCATGCTGGGTGTAGGGTCTCGTGTGCCAGCTGACCTAGTCTGTGATACGTTCAGGACCTAAATAAAGGCCTGGAGCTTGGCAGGATCACTCAAGGGTGTTCATTACTTGTTGCAGGAACGGCATCTGTTGCAGTGGCTGGGCTCCTTGCTGCTCTTCGAATAACCAAGAACAAGCTGGCTGATCAGACGATACTGTTCCAAGGCGCTGGAGAGGTACCTACTTTGCACAATGATGCCTGTGGTCTCCTAAACGAATGAACACGTAGCCAGTTGTAACTACTTCTCTTCTCCAGGGTGCATGTGTTCTTTCATGGTTTCATGGATTGTAAAATCTAGGCTTAACTATGTGGCCCTCAAGTATTGAGGCTTATTCTGAGTATAGCAGTAGAAAGGTTTTACTTTTTGATTGTTTTGTCATTTCTTTTTTATTCTATTAACTTGAAGCAGTTGTACTAAAGGGGGTTACTGTTCAACATGTCCCCATATGAGTACAGTGCATCTCGATCAATAAGAAAGGCATTGTTTTACAGGGTTACATTGTAGTGTTACCAGATGTTGCCATGGGTTTCTGTTGTGTACATGTAAGGTGTCCTGAGAAGCTGTCAGTGGGAGGCGAGATGAGAATGGGTTTTCATCACAGCTGGGGCAGCTGCTGCTGGCTGCACTGTCCTCAAGCTTCCCACGGTGTTCAATTCAACCTGCACATCTGCAACTCTGTTTATCTTCAAGAAAAAGTATTTGCAATTAGGAGACTTACAGTACATTATAAACATTCACATGAAAAGAACTGATTTATAAGTGCTACCTTTGTAAACTGCATATCACCTGCACTTACAGTTCCTGGAAGGAGGTGTAGCAAGACCAAATTATGCTGTTTTCTGTTGTCATTGTCTATAAACAAATCATTTGAAAAGAGAAAACTAGACTCCATTAGTAGTAATTCACTTCCAGAAATAGGAACGATGTTACACATTTTCTTGTAGGAAAACTGTCAAGATCTCTCTAGAGTTACAGAACGTAATAAATCAGAAAAAAACACTTTTAGAAATATCTGCCTGTATCTATATGCCTCTCTCTATAGATAGATCACCTGACAAACTTTCAGACTTCACAGCCCTTTCTGTGTTCACATTAAGAAAATAAGTAAATGGCAGGGAGCATTATTTTGGGGGTCACTTTCACCCTTTGGCCTAGTTGGGCAAGTTCCCACCCAGGTGACCAGACTCCCCTCATCACCTGAGACGGAGAAGCTTGAGCCTAGCCAGCAGGCCTGGCTGAAACGTGCTTTATTTCCATTCAGTCTTTTCCTGTTGGAGCAAGTCTCCTCTTAATAGGATTGAAATAGTGATAACCAGGGATTTTGTTGACTCATCTGTTGCTAAATTGCAAAATGTGAAATAATGGTTGTGCTGTGGTCTGAAGAACTCAGTCCACGTGTGATGAAATACTGTGTGAAAGGTCACTACCGCTCTTAAGGTCAAGAGAGCCTTTAGCAATGTTTTACTAACAGAGGCCACAGGAGGTGAATGAATGTAACTCCTGATAAAATCTGGCGTGGGATAGGTTTTGAAATCTTTGCTTCCCTGACCCCGTTCTCAGGCCGCCCTGGGCATTGCTCATCTGATCGTGATGGCCATGGAGAAAGAAGGTTTGCCAAAGGAGAAAGCGATCAGAAAGATATGGCTGGTTGACTCAAAAGGATTAATAGTGAAGGTAAGAATATGGCCCTTTAATCATCATGAAGATCAGTTATGCCTTTCTGAGTAACAGTCTTTTTTTTTTTTCTTTGTTGGTCATGGGGCCTCAAACTCAGGGCCTGGGTGCTGTCCCTGAGCTCTTTTGCTCAAGGCTAGCACCCTACCACTTTAAGCCACAGCACCACTTCTGGTTTTGGAAGGTGGTTAGCTGGAGATAAGAGTCTCTTGGAGTTTCCTGAACAGGCTGGATTTGAACTGTGATCCTTATTTCCCAGCCTCCTGAGTAGCTGGGATTATAGGTGTGAGCCACCAGCAGTGGGCCTGTGTGTCAGTCTTAAAGACTCCTAGTGGTCCTGTCCCTACCTACACACTGTGTTGAAAGAGTTGCTGTTAAACACAAACCATGCTGCAACACAAATAATTCTGACCCTAATTTTAGGTGCATAAGAGAACTATGGCTTAGGAAGAGATTCCATTTTGAGAGTACAGGCCCCTGTCTCTTTGAATTTACTTGGTTTCCAAGAGAGGCAGTGCAATGGAGGCAGATGAAACGCAGGCCGACCCTTTAGTGAGCGTGCTCTGTCAGGCATGCGTTGGTGAGAAGGGAAGGAGGGGAAAATGAAATGGCCCTCCATCTGCTACGTTCTCAAAAAAAACAAAACAAAACAATTCTTGAGGGGTTGAAAGGGACTTTGTGAAAGACTTTAGTAAGTAGGCCATTTGAATGTTAACTTTCCTGAGCTTCATATTTCCCAACTTTAACAGAGATAATAAATAAGACCAGCTTTATTCAGTCATTGTGAGAACTATGTAAGAATATGTATGTGAGCATGTTGCAACCCATGGCACTGGTATATTTATACCATGTGTGTGTGTGTGCGTGTGTGTGTGCGCGCGCGTGTGTGCGCGCGCGCGCCAGCCAGTCCTGGGGCTTGAACTCTGGGCCTGGATGCTGTCCCTGAGTTTCTTTTGCTCAAGGCTAGTGCTCTACCACTTGAGCCACATCTCTACTTTCAGCTTTTTGTTGTTTAATTGAAGCTAAGAGTCTCCTGAACTTTCCTGTCCAGGCTAGCTTCAAACCAAGATCCTCAGATCTCAGTCCCCTGTGTAGCATGAGCCACCAGTGCCTGGCATATATCATTCTTTTTTAAACTGATAGGAAAAAAAAAAAGACATCAATCCTCCTTCTATGCAAAGACATCATGAATTGTGCTGACCCAGGAGTATAAAAGAGTCCTGAAAAAAAGTCCAGAACTATGTTTCTAGTGATATTTTAATGTGAAATTTGTATATACACATATAGATTACAGCATAAGTTTAGCAAAGGTTTCAAGTTCCATGGATTATAATCTATGGAATAAAGTTTTTGGCCAGACCTAATCAGCCATTCCTCCTTCATGTCTTTTACTTGCCAAAGTAAAAAAGTGCAAATATGATTGCTAAGAAAAGTACCATTTTAAAAGCTTGTTATACATCTAATAGCTTGTTCACTATTTGACATAGGACAATAAATTTCAAGTGATGGATTTTTTTTCATGTCTTTGAAGTCAAAATTCTTACATTGAGCTTTGTTACAAACTAGTATCTTAGAATAACAAAAATTAGGATAATCTTGCTTTCAAATTGACATGATTCTTTTAGTTTTTTTTTGTCCTTAGACAATATCTGTCCAGAGCCAATTATAGCCATTTTATGAGCTTAAAGTGTAATTGTTTGTAATATATTAAAAGAATCATGAAGTTTTAACCAGAACATTTTCTTGGGAAAGCCCCTTCACATTTTAAAGATATAAAAATCCCAGCCTCAAATGCTAACCATAGTGGACTCATCCTTGGAACTTTATTACTAAGGAATGGTGATTACTAATGTTGCGCATGCTTTCTGTGTTTATTTCAGCACACATTATAGCATTTCCCGTAATTGATCTCAGAACCATATCAGGGATGGAAGGGGTGTGATATACAATATCAGTATTGTCATTGATAACCTCAGTGCTAGTAAGTTGATTGAAATCAATCACTTGGTCATTGATGATATGTAAAAATCTTTAGTATTTTGTAGCAGGAGATATGGATATATCAATTTAGTCAACGAGTATTCTTTTTTTTTTTTTTTTTTTTTGGTGGGTCATGGGGCTTAAACTCTGGGCTTGGGCCCTGTCCCTGCACTCTTCAACTCAAGGTGAGCACTCTATCACTTGAGCCACAACACCACTTCTGGTTTTCTAGTGGATTATTGGAGAGTCTGACAGAGTCTGACAGACTTTCCTGCCCGGGCTGGCTTTGAACCATGATTCTCAGATCTCAGCCTCCTGAGTAGCTAGGATTACAGGTGTGAGCCACCGGCGCCCGGCTTTGAATACATTTTAATAGAAACAAGTCAATATTTAACAAGTAGAACCTCCTCAAATAAAAATCAGAGGGAAAGGAAGGTAGGAAAGAGAGGTAACAGCAGCATGGTAGTCTGCACATTGCGCAATGGTGACTTTGGAACATTTTCAGGTAGGACAGGAAGCCACAGAACAAACTCATCCATGCTTAACTTCTCAGATAAATATAATTTTGCTCCCACCAATAAACCAAGTTAATGCTAAGATAGAGCACTTCCGAAGTAGGATTCCACTGAGCTCTGTTAGGATGTCCGATTATCATCCAGAATAAGATCAGAGACTGCTTTGAAATTTGCTTTGATTTTTATTTTGCTCCATTGCAAAGAACAAATGCATAACGACTATAGTGATCACGAATCAAGGCACGCTGTGTGCTGCTGTGGCAGTTGTGTAAGGCTATCTTCTCCCCTATGGTGCACAAAACCAGACTAGGGCTCCAAAGCCCAGCCTGGAGAAGAGTTTCCTCCTCCCATTGTTATGCTAGCTATTTAACAATGGAGCTACCATGCCTTGAGTGACACCCAACGCATTTCCTGCACACCCACTGAACAGACTGCCTCCCAGGAGACTTTGCGGCTTGGAGAGAGCCACGGAGAGATGATTTGCTTGTCATTTCACGTGGTGTTTGACACTGCGTGTGCAGCCAATAAGAAAGGCAGAGGCAGAGAGCAGATGTCCTTGTCTCTCAGACAGTCAGATGCACATTAATATCACTGCCTACTGCTGAAACAAAAGCCCTCATTCGTCTTCTTGCTCGCACTAATTGAGGAGAGAAGGAAGGGGGGAAAGGGGGAAAGGAAACAGGGAAGGAGGAAGGGAAGAGAGAAGATGAGGAAGGAATTTGGGATATCCGCGCGTGAAGAGGTGTTCACAAGTGCTTTGCCAAAAGAAGGTGGAAGGCATCTCAGCAGGGAATCCTGGAAAGGGAAAAAGAGGCAGAAGAAATGATGTTGCTGTCGGGTTTAAGTCATCAGCCTAAGGGATTCGTGTGTCACTCCAGGTTTCTGAGAGCTGGTGAGCCATGAGTGTGCAAAAGTGTAAGTGTGGAGGCAGCTGCGGCGGTCTTACAAGCGCGAGGAGAGCGGCCACACGTAATAAAGTCAGCTTGGAAAACGGGGTGGAAAATTCTTGGCAGGCCTGTTCTTTTTGCCCTGGATTCTTCTGCCTGTGTGCAGCGAGCCCTGGTGCTGCTCATGCTGTCTTTTGGGGTCCTGGCTCCTCTGGGTGCTCTCGGCAGCCTGGGGTGTGTGCTGGGGGGACTCACAGCGCGGGCCCCCGAGTTCCGTCTTCTCTTGCCAGGGTCTGCGGGCATTGCCGTGATTTATGCGATGTGATGTTTGTGATAGAGCACACAGCTTTTCTAGAGAGATCAGAGGCAAATGTATTCAAACTGCATTCTGAGGACAGTTTGGCCATGCTTCCTTCCACCCGCCTTTCCCTGTCTCCTTGATCATTTATTTGCTGCCCTTCCAAGCTCTTTAGAGGTTTTGAAGCGCACAAAGCAGGAGATTGTGAATCACAGAGAGAAAAAAAAGAAAAGGAAAGAAGAAAGCTTTCCTTCTGCAGAGCTTATCATTTTATACCTTTTTTTCCCCCTGAAAATGTGCACCTTTTTTTTTAAGCCTATATCTGATAGGAATCTGGAAAGCTCTTTTAGGATGATGATTCTCAACCCTGGCTGATTGTTTCCAATCACCGGGAAGCTTCTTAAAATCCACCCCTAAGTCCTGGGCTCACCGTGGAGTAGAGCAGAGCTAGCTCTGGACGTGGGTTTGGGATCCACCCCTCCATTGAGTACTGGTGCCCACTTAGCTTTAGCAAGCCGTCATTTGCTTCATCTGCACCAGCTTTGCCACCGAGCTCCGGGAAGCGAGGTGCAGGGATGGGAGAGGCCGAGTCCGGCTCATGCTCCGTCTTGCGTGTGCATGCCACGGTTGGTGGCTCCTTGCAGCACTTCTCTTTGCTGGGACCACAAGATCCTCTCAGAAAAAATATTCATTTATTTGCTATCAGCGACAAGAACATGCTCTGCTTCTTGTCCTTTCTGTTCCTAGCCAACCAAAGCCGTCACAAACTGCTAAAATGGCGAGGCCATCGTTAACCGATGGGGCCAGAACTATGCACTAAAATACTTTAAATTTGCTGGCCTGACAAGCAGAGGCATTGCACGGGAGCAAATCTTTGGAAGCCCTGCATGAAGGAAAATGAAGACTACCTTCTCGTCATTTTCAGCTTCCTTCATGTCTTTCAAAATCATTTTGCATTTCAGATGACAGTCTGCACTTGATATAAACCGACTCTTATTTCTGTGCTATTTGAAGCAGCCAGGCTGTGTTCTGCCAGGTTGGATTTGGTTATTTTCAGCTGCTAACACAATCATCTCCGATTTCTTTGGTAGTTTTCTTGTCTCATGTGGGTGATTACTTTGTGGTTTGGTAATGTAATGAAAAGGCACAGATTTCTATTTTTATGGACAGCTTGGGCACGTTTGTTCGCTACTCTGTGCTGTTGTTAGTCGCTGGCTGTGGGGTAACTGCTGCTGGTCGCACAGTTTTGCTAGTCTGCTTTGGATCACGTTTGGTGCCTAAGCACCTGTTTTTGTTTTTTTTTTTTTTCAAAAGAAAAGGACACCAATATTTACCTCTTAGAATGTGGCATATATATATATATATATATATATATGTTTATATATATATTACCATTTACAATTTCTTCTTTGTTAATAATCCTGAATCTCTGATATATATTTTTCTCTCTGATCCTTTCAATAAGTTTCTTCTTTTCTGTTTTGAGGTAAACCATAAAATAGAGATGAATTATAAGACTTTACCGTTATTAGGAGTGAAACCTGATTCTGGGAACAGGACACGGAACAGGACATGCTCCAGGCACTGTCCAGTATGGGCCGTTTCTTTGACAGAGTGCCACTCCAGCTCTGTGGATGGGCAGGTGACCGGGCTGTGGGGAAGAGACATGGCCCCGAGAACAAACTAAACTAGCTTCCTCTTATGTCCTCATGTGTACACAAAATTACGTAACTGTTGGAGACCTGGCTCAAATAGCAGGGCACCTGCCTAGCAAGCATGAAACCCTGAGTTCAACTGCCACGCCCCCAAATGGTTGAATGGTCACAACATAAAATTCAACAGAACGAAGAAATTAGATTAAACAACAGTAAGCAGATATTTGAGAATTAAAAAGTAATTCCTTAAATGTGGCTTGATGGTTGAGATTGTCATTGTAGATCTTTTGAAACCGTGAGCACCTTTGTTTTGAGACAGGCTCTCACTAGGTAGTCCAGCCTGGCCTCAAACTTGTGATCTTCCTGCCTCCATTTCCCGTGTGCTAGGATTTTAGGGACCACGCTTGGCCAAGACACTGTCTTAGTGTTGATGATTTTGTCACTGGCTTTCCTGGAAGGTAAGGACTTGCTAGGCGAAGTAAGTCTTCTGGCTGTTCGTCTCGGATTCTGGAACAGAGGAACTTTGTTATAAAATTGTACACAAGCAGACCCCCAAGTATGGTGACTTAGATAGTTAACATATGGGGTATGGGGATCTTGCGGAGGGTTATTAAGGGCTGTAGTTGTAGGTGGGTGAGAGGCTTAAGGTGCATCCGGCATGCCAGTGTCCATAGGCAGATACCCAGTCATGGCTTCTGCAGCCAGCTAAGGAGAGCCAGCTGCATCCCTGGGAAGCTGGCCCATCACTTAGCTCCTGTCTGCCTGTGTACACTTAGCTCCCATCACTTAGCTCCCATGGGGCCGTGGTTCACTTAGCTCCCATCACTTAGCTCTCCCATGGGGCAGTGGAACACTGGATGCTGAAGACTGCATTGTCCACCTCAGAAGAACAGAGCACCTCCACCGCCAGCTCGCAGGCAGGCCTCGTGGCCACTGCTCCCTGCATTCCTTTGTCTGGCAGGTGTGAAGGTGATTGGCCTGAGTGCGTGAATGCGCCAACACTGGGCAGCTAAGGGGGAGAAAGCTGGGGAAGTCCGGCAGTGCGGGGAGCCCTCTCGCTCTAAAGTCGCGCTGGATGTGTTTGCCCTTCCATGGGATTGTCTGATGCCTGTTGGGTGCGAGGTTCGTTTCTCTCCCACACCCACTGTGGACTATATTCATTTCTGGTAAAAAGTGCTAAGCTTGTGGTTTGTTTGGAACAGATGTGGGGCAGTCTCTCGTATCCGCCTTGGAATTTCACTCTTGCAGAAGAAGCAAAACAGTCGTGATCTTAGCCTGCACCGCTTCCAGAAAGTGTGGACTGAGCAGAGTGACAGGGAGCGAAAATTGGGGGAAATAATGAACATTAAAGCATTGCCCATGGCTTCATCGCTAGCCACACACTCCCATTGCTGGACCATAACCATTTGTCCTTCATGCCTTCCTGGGCCAGCCGGGGCAGGGCAGAGTCACATCAGCCTCTTGAGGCCAGCAGCTGGCCAGCTCTGAGGCTTCCAAAGCCAGGCAAAGGCACAGGAAGGCTGCTGGGAGCTTTGTTCCGGGGCTCCCACAGGCCCAGGCGGCCCTGGCTCCCGCCTGCTCCAGCCCCAGCTCCTCCACCTGATGACCATCACGCAACCAGGGCATGCCTTCCCAACTGGGTGGATCGATTGCCATTGGTCAGCGTTTTCATGGTAACAAGGGCTCCTGAACTCAGTGTCAGGATGCAGTGTACTTGGATATATCATGAGAGAAAGCTGGAAAATGATCTCTTAGAAACCAGAACTGACAGGCGGTGAGCTCCATGCTACGCAGCCACTCATGGCAAGAGCCATCCACGACAGCCGAGAAGGACACAGAGCAAGCTGGACTTGGTTTTGTTTTGTTTTGGTGTTGTTCAGAATAATTTCAATTAGTACTGACCAGCCTGCTCCTGGGTGCTTTCCATGCCTTGCTTCCCTGAACCCACTGTTAGCCTCACAAAGAAGAAATTCCTCTTATTCTTGTTAACACACAAGCAAAGAAGCACGAAGAGACTCATATGGTTCTCGTTTTCTAGAATTCTCCCTGTTGGAATCCCTTATGGCTTAAAGTCTCCAAACCTAAACCAAGGTTCACATGAAACACTCTTAATTTATCCTTCCCCAAACTGTTGAGATCAAATGAAATATGTAACTCCAACTTGTAAGTCATAACGGACTATGTAAACTTAGGTAGTGATCTATTATAGAGTCAAAGGTTAGAAAACTCACCACTGGCATGTTGACTTAGATGTTTCCTAACTGTAACCCTGTAGAAAATGGTCTCACTTGAGTATCTGTTGAAGAAATGAATGAAATAAATACTCTTGACAGTGAGTGAGAGAAGGGAACTTGAAGGGATTGTAAGAAATGTCAGCAGAAGCTCACACCTGTCTTCCTAGCTACTCAGGAGGCTGAGATCTGAGGATTTCGGTTCAAACCCAGCCTGGGCAGGAAAATCCAATTAAACACCAGAAAACTGGAAGTGGCGTTGTGGCTCAAGTGTTAGAGCACTCACCTTGAGCTGAAGAGCCGAGGGACAGTGCCCAGGCCCAGAGTTCAAGCCCTCAGCTCTTCTGCAGGCTGAGAACTGGAGGGTCACAACTCAAACTGGCCCATCCCCAGTTAGCCAGCAAAAAGCAGGCCTAGAGGTGTGACTCATAGCCGAAGGTGAGGCTCCGAGTTCAAACCTGGGTTCTGGTAAAAAAAAAAAAAAAGTGTACAAAAATGTAAGCATACGTACTCATCACAGGTAGAATATTCTGGAATGTCTCTACCCCACACATTGGGCAGCTTGTTCATTTCTTCCCACCTGTGTCACTTAGGGACGTGCTTCCTTAACACCAGAGAAGGAGCAGTTTGCGCACGCACACGAGGAGATGAAGAGCTTAGAAGCCATTGTGCAAGAAATCAAGCCGACTGCGCTCATTGGTAACCCCCTCTCCCCTGCCCCCTCCCTCCACTTCCCTTCCTCCTCCCTCCTCCCTCTCCCCTTTGCTTGCTAACGTTTCAACCCTGGGAATTCAGACGGATGAGCATGCTCTTGAGCAACAGAGTCTTCTCCAGCCTCCCAGATCCGTAGCTTCTTGGTACCATTTGAGCCCTGGGCCTGGCTGGAGAGCACATTATGCTCAGCCCTCTGCTCATGCCTGAAACCCCTGGGCTTTGCATGCTGGACTCCTCAGAGACATGGACGGTCCTGTGCCCAAGGACAGGCTCCCCCACAGGCTATAGCTAGGACGGAATTTGGAAGTGGGGTAAAGCCATAGGTCAGGTGGCAGGCCTGCATGCAAATGCCAGCCAAAGGGTGGGGGGGGTCACGCACACTAAAAATGACCTCAGAGGAGGTGGGCATCGACGTGCCCTGCTGGTCCCCAGCATGCAACATGGTGCCTACACGCAGGTAGTAGGCTGCTTTTAGATGTGTCCACATATCATGTGTTTTATAAACATCTCAAAAGGAGTTGTCAAAGGTGATCTTGGAGAGGGTTATTAAGGACTGTAATTGTAGGTGGGCGAGAGGCTTAAGGTGCACCCAGCATCCCAGCGTCCATAGGCAGATTCCCAGTCATGGCTTCTGCAGCTGGCTAAGGAGAGCCAGCTGCATCCCTGGGAAGCTGGCCCATCACTTAGCTCCTGTCTGCCTGTGTACACTTAGCTCCCATCACTTAGCTCCCATGGGGCAGTGGTTCACTTAGCTCCTATCACTTAGCTCCCATCTTCCAGTGGTGATCCCGAGGGTGTGTCTTGGGGCTTGAACTCAGGATCTGTCCCTGTGCTCAAGGCTAGCACTCCACCACTTGAGCTATAGCTACATTTTTTTCTTTTTCTTTTTCTTTTTTTTGTACTTGTAGGATTTCTTGTTGATAATATTGAAGTAAAGCTGAAAGCGTAAGGACAACGACCCCCCCCCCACCCCGGTACTGAGTTCTCAGTCCTGTTTCTTAGGCCGCAGTCTCATTTCTGTTAGATTCTCCTCAGAGCGGGTTGCTTCTACCCATGGGCTTAGATCATCATCTTCAGTGTTCACACTGTTTATAAAGTGTCCTTGTGCTGTACCCCGACAGGCTGAAATAGGCGCAGAATTGCTTATGAAAGCAGTCTGTGGTTGGGACCCAGTTTAACTTGCTGATGAATGAAGAGGCCAACGTTCGGCACTTTGGGATTCACAGGCAACTCGTTTCCTCCCCGTCCTTCAGCACAAATATGCCCTGCGCCGTATGGCGTCTCTTGGAAGAGGCCTGGGGTATCTCCTGGTTTGGTACCCGTGCTCCTTGGAAGAATTCAGCCATGAATGTCCTGACTGCTGGTTTCTCTGCTTCCTTAGGAGTGGCTGCAATCGGTGGTGCATTCTCTGAACAAATTCTCAAAGACATGGCGGCCTTCAACAAGAGACCTATCATTTTCGCCTTAAGTAATCCAACCAGCAAAGCAGAGTGCTCCGCGGAGCAGTGCTACAAGTTCACTCAGGTGAGGCGATCCACTGAGGGAGTAGCTATGGTGCTTACTTCAGTACAGCCAAGGTTAAAAGCAAAGTGACCAAAAGCCAGAAGTGGAGCTGTGGCTCAAGTGGTAGAGCACCAGCCTTGAGCAAAAGTGCTTAGGGACAGCACCCAGGCCCTGAGGTTCACATCCCACAATGGACAGACAAAGAGATGAAAAGCAGTGAACATAGCAGGAGAACACTTTGATTTCCCTGGATGTTATTGTCTCTTCCTCCTCTTCTATGGAAAAACTAATCTTGTCATACTTCAGCGATGACCATCTTCCCCGAGGGCTTGGAGGAGTATCTGCGATTTACACATAAAAGTGAAAGAAGAAAGGAGCCTTGTGGTTTTCAGATGGTCATTAAAATAGTTCTAACTAGCTCTTCCCAAACCCTGAAGCACACAGTATAAAACCACAGCCTCATTTTTGCTTTGCTGAGTTCTGGGTTTGGATTTCCAGGGCTCGGGTGGGGCCTGTGGGCCGCTGTCCCCACGCCAGCCCAGCCACACACTCTGTCCTCGGGTGGCAGTCCTTTCCTGCTTACGGAAATCACCTATCTGATACTGTTTTGTACTTGTGCTCTTCAAAGAGGTGAAAATGCCAGAATAAGAGAGTAGGGACTGAGTTTTAACTACGTAAAACTCTTTAACTTTGGAAATAAATCCAAACTGGAATAGAGAGGGGAAATCACAGTGACATCACTCCACAAATCGGAGTCTGGTCGATGCTGTGCTTCTCATTGCTAGAACTAGAAATGATGTTTTCGGGGACAAGGAACCACTACATGGCTTATGGCTCTTATTTAGGGTGATCTTGGGGTCCTCATTAAGTTTGATTGTATCCTGTCTGTAGATTGGGAGGTTGCCTCCCATTCCTCAGTGTTTTTTAACTTGTGTGTGCGTATGTATGTGTGTGTGTGTGTGTTGTGAGTGTGTGTGCATGGGTCCTGAAGCTTGAATTCAGGGCCTGGGAGCTATCTCTGAGTTGTTCTCCTCAAGCCTGGTGCTCAGCCACTACAAATCCATTTCTGGCTTTTTGGCAGTTTATTGGAGATCATCGTCCCTTGGACTTGGCTGCTTGGGCTGGCTTTAAACCTTGATCCTCAGATCTCAGCCTCCTGAGTAGCTTTATTGGCATGAGCCACCAGCACCTGGATAAGTCCTTGGAGGAGAGAGAAAAAACCCCACAGTCTTTTGTGCAATCACAAAGTTTTAGCATATTACTATGTAAAAACAGGATCACAACAAACCAGTGTTTAATGATTGTGTCTGCATCTAAGCTCAGCAGGCCTCAAGAATTGACAGTCTGTGATTCACATGTGTGAAATTAGCCAAACTTGCATAAGTATATTTTAAGATTGGAATGCGTCAAAGATATGTGGTCTCATCTCTTCTGATCTCCCCTAATGCTCTGTATTGTCAGACAGAAAACACTGGAAGTCATTTTGTCACTAACAGTTGTGCCTTGAACTCAAATGTGATTGCCAGTACGCCCTTTCTGTGTTCAGAAGTGTGTCCCGGGAGCGTGTGGAAATGGCTGCTGGGGCCAGAGCGATGATACTTCCCAGCTTCGCTCATTTTGGGGGTCAAGGACCCCCACCATTTCAGAGTCCACGTCCACGTCACAGGGCTCTGCGGTTTTCACAGGGGTTGAGTACTGCGGCCTGAGACCGCAGCGCTGCCCACGGCCCCGTGTGTCATCTGGTGCTGTGTCTCTGTGTTGCAGGGCCGCGCGATTTTTGCCAGTGGCAGTCCTTTCGATCCGGTCACTCTTCCGAGCGGACAGACCCTGCACCCCGGCCAAGGCAACAATTCCTATGTGTTCCCTGGCGTGGCGCTGGGGGTCGTGACGTGCGGCCTGAAACATATCAGCGACAAGGTCTTCCTCACTACTGCCGAGGTTCGAAAGCACCCCCTGCACGCTGCCTGACTCCTGGATCAGGGGAATGGAGAGCAGGAGGTGCCCCCCGCTTCCCTCCCTCCCCGGTGGCAGGGATGCCTCAGGGTTTCTGTGCTCCCCAGGGGAAGAGAGCAAGTCAACATTTCTTCCATTTCCATCGTCTTCCAGAGCAATCATGACCTTTCACTCCTTCCTCCAGACTAGTGCCCGGTTCCTGAATGCCTCTAGCGCCCCCTGGTGACCAATAGTGTGCGATGTCCTGTAGTTCTCATTCAGTGAAAATGACTGGGAGTGGGGGGGGGGTCGGTACCAGGGAGAACAGGTCTAGTCATTTGAAGGGTGCTCTTGGTATCCTAGCCATGCCAGCCACGGCCACGGCGTCAGTGTCACTCCCCTGTAATTCAGTTCTGTGTTTGCTTTCCTCTTTTTCATCTCTTTTTAACTAAGTCTGTTTCCTGGCGTTCATTGTTTTAATCCTACTTTTTCTTTCCTTTTCATACGCTTTCAATGATCTCAGCTCTTCATTCTGTCATCTTTATTCTAATAATCCACCAAATCTGTGTATTTCTCATCTCCCGCCATAACTCTGGTTACTTGCTAGATAATTCCACTGAAAGGCCCTGCCATATTCTCAAACACAACATGCTTAAAAAGCCGACTGATGGTCAGGTGGGCGCCGGCGGCTCATGCCTGTCCTTCCCGCTGAGGATCTCGGTTTGAAGCCAACCTGAGTAAGACAAATTTGAGAAACTCTTTAATCTGCAAAAGAAAGTAGAAGTGTGCTTCAAGTGGTAGAGGGTCATCCTTGAGCTACAAATCCAAACGGGAGCCCGAGGCCCGAGTTCAATCCCTCCTACTGACACGAAACAGAGCAAAGCCCAAATGTATCAGTCACCTCTCACTGTCAGTGTTGGTGTTTCTAGTGGTGGCACTTTTCCAAGCAGGCATCAAAGTGTGCAAGCCATAGCACCTCCCTTCCGCCTGGAAAGCCAGGAGAATTCCTGTGGCCTCAGGGCACTTCCAAAATCCAGCCTAGTCCTTAAGCTCTGTTCCTGGGCAGCCTGACCTTGATCTCCCGCCCTGCTCTTCCTCTTCTGTCCTGGCTGTTCCTCGCACACATCTCCTGCCCGTGTCCCCGTCGTCCACGCCCGCCCTCGGGACCACTGCACCCCTCTTCTTTTCCCTCCCGTCCCTTCATCTGCGTTTCCTCCTCCTCTCTCTTTTCCTGCTCCCGGGGTTCAGTGGAGTCTCCCCATCTTTTCCCTAGCGGTGTGATTCCCCACATGGGGACAGCGCGCTGCCTTTGCTCACTGTGTCCACAGTGAGAGGCGGTGAAATCAGCGGGTGGCCCGCAGGAATGGCTTCTGCACGCGCTGGTTCACTCAGCTGAGGGCCTGCACGTCTGGAGGGCTCACCTGAAAGCATTCCTTCCCCTTTTCTTGTTCTCAGGTCATCTCTCAGCAGGTGTCAGACAAGCACCTAGAGGAGGGCCGGCTCTACCCGCCTCTCAACACCATTAGAGACGTGTCGCTGAAGATTGCAGTGAGGGTAAAACCACACGCGCTCTGTTGCCTTCCCTCTGCTCATTATGCGTGTGTGTGTGTGTGTGTGTGTGTGCGCGTGTGTGTGTGTGTGTGAGTGTGAGAATTCAGGGCCCAGGCACTGTCCCTGAGTTTCTTTTGCTCAAGGCTAGTGCTCTTGAGTGCTGCACTTGCGCTGCAGCTCCACTCCCAGCTTTTTCTTTGATTAATTGGAGATAAGAGTCTCAGGGACTTTCCTGCCTTGGCTGGCTTTGAACTGGGATCCTCAGAACTCATCTTTCTGGGTAGCCAGGGTGACAGGCATAAGCCACTGGTGCCTGGCTGATGAAGTATTTTTATGTGAGAGTCTTCCTCAAAATGCATGTTGGGGGGGGGGCTGGGAAGGTGGCTCAGTGGTAGAGTGCTTCCCTTGCATGCATGAGGCCCTGGGTTCGATTCCTCAACACCACATAAGCAGAAAAAGCTGGAAATGGTGCTGTGGCACAAGTGGTAAGAGTGCTAGCCTTGAAGAGCTGAGGGACAGCGCCCAGGCCCAGAGTTCAGGCCCCATGACTAACCAAAAACAAAAAATGCATGTGGGTATTGCTCACTGGCTCATCCTAAATCGCCCCTGCGGCCGTCGGCTTGCTGTCAGTCGGCCGCGTTCTCCCTCGGCCTCTCAGCGCAGCTATGCCTTTCCCTGCCACACATGTAACTTGTTGTAACTGTGGACTCCACACAGAGATGGGGGGCACAGTTCTGTGCAGCCACCTGTCACCCAGGCCCCTCTGATTTATAGATTAACAGACCAAGAACACAGTTGAGATTTAGGCCAAAGTTCAGGGATAGCGCCCAGGCCCTGAGTTCAAGCCACGCAACCCCCAAATTAAAACAAAACACCAAATTCACAGCCTCACTGAACTCCTACGTGCTTAGTGGTTAGGACTTCAACATAAGAGGTGGTAGGGACAAAATTCACCCCACGACAGTAGTTCTGTGTTTAGACTGGGGGATTCTACATGGTCCCTTGGGCATTTAGAGGGCTCTAGGCAGAAAGGGCCTTTAGCAGCATTTATAACCACTGCCCACTAGATGGCAGCCTCCTCTAGACTTGTGACCGGAATATTGCAAGTGTCTCCTGAGGCCTGCTCATACTGCTACCAGTTGGAAAATAACGCTTTCAGGTTAAGCAGAAAACACGGCCTACTATGCATGTATCATTATGTCTTGTTATGAAGCAGATTCTTTCATCTGCAAAGTGATCTACTTATGACAGATTAGACTCCTATGTCATACCAATGTTGCCTACTAGTTGAATTATTAATTACTAATAGCATATCATCCTTGTAAGTTTATCTTGACAAAATAGATGAGAAGGAGTTAACAAGTGATTGGAGGAGAAAGTAAGAGAGCAAAGAACACCAGAAGGATACAAAACTGTCCAGGTGGTTCCTTTTATCATAGATATTTGTTCGTAATTTTTCATCAAGAGGAATTTTACGTAGAGAGGGATCCAACGTACCCAAGCAAGTCTAGTGTATTGATCGCGCCTCTGTGGTCTACTTAGAACTCCTGAGAATGAATTTGAAGAGAAAGAAACCCTTTTTTTTTTTTCTTCAAGAAAGGTGGAGGAGAGAGTGCAGGTGGAGACGGCGGTGTGGGGCTGGGAGGGCTGAGCTTGTGTCCTCTGAGTGGTGAGAGGCAGAGAAGGCGTGGACGTGGGCAGGGCTTGGAATTGCCTTCTGGGGACTGTGAGGCGGTTGGATTTGAAAGGATGAAAGCGTAACGTGCAAGCCAGATGGGGGTGCCTCGCACCTGTCATCCTAGCTACCGAGGAGGCTGAGACCTGAGGATTGTGGTCCAGAGCCAGCCCAGGCCGAAAAGCCCGTGAAACTCTCATCTCCAACTAATCAGCAAAAAAGCTGGTGGTGGAGCGTTGGGGGTGTGGCTCATGTCTAGGAACACACCAGCCTTGAGAAAGTCAACAGCATGAGGCCCCGAGTTTGAGTCCTAGTACAGTCATACACACACACACACACACACACACACACACACGTGTGGGCACACACAGTACAAGCACCCACACCTGAGCACGGAGCGGGGACAGAAGGCACCACAGGAAGTCCACGCACCATTGTCTGGCCATCAGTCTCAGGACAAGAACAGCCTTGAGGCTCCTTGGAGGAGGGGGCGCCGGGCTGTGGCGCGGCCCTGTGAGCCACAGGTGCAAGTGCTTGTGGTGACAGCAGCCAGGAGCGCTGACCCGACCCTGGGGTTGGGATGCATGGGGAGCTGGACCACAGGCTGCTGCATTAGGTGCGCGCGGCGTCAGCCGGGGGGCTGTGTGGGATTCTGCGCTCAGCTGCAGCTGCGGGGCAGTGGAGGCGGTCTGTCCAGGCTAATTAGCATTGGGGTCACATGATGGCCTCTCTGCACACGTGGCATTCCCAAACAACGCATTACCCTCGGCCCTGCATGCTTCACAGCTGCTGGGGTCATTTCCACCCCTGCTAATAGGACTTGTCATGAGCCTTTGAGGGCTGCGTCTTCGTTTGACTGTGCGTTTCTGTGAACAGTTTGCTTGAATTCATTCTTGGAATGGACGTGTGCTCACCACGGCCCTCTATTTATTCCAATAATTAATATTCTCTTCTCCCTTCTAGATTGTGAAAGATGCATACCAAGAAGAGACGGCCACGGTTTATCCGGAGCCGCAGAACAAAGAAGCGTTTGTTCGTGCGCACATGTTCTCTCCCGAGTATGACCAGCTGCTCCCCGAATGCTACCCCTGGCCAGCCAATGCCCGGAAAATGCAGACCAAAGCCGACCTCTAGCCACGGCCCGTGCTCTCCACGGCAGCTCAGAGAGCTGGAAACAGCCCTTCCTAGTTTCTGAAGGTTGGAATCTTTTACGATGATATGCTTAGAATAGGGTAATTTTACTTTAAAAATTGAAATTTTCCTGGAAGATCATTAATATAAATGAAGACAAACTTCACACTGGATGATTTCACTTGATTTACCTTTTTGTAATTTATGGTTTCTATCTTAATTATTTTACCCCAATTCTCTTTAAAAAGCGATTGCTCTTGCTACTGAGAAACTCATCTTTTTTTGTATAGAAAACTTAATGGGAAGACCAAAATTAGAAATAGATATGATCAACATTAAACCCCACAATTCCTTCGTTGACCATTTTGCTAAAAATCCACTTTCTAAAAACAAATAAAAGGCAGATGAATTTAGGAATACACTTTTGCTAAACAGAAACAACATGACTCTATTGCCTAGAGAAAAGAAGCAGCTTTTCAGGTATTTTTATTCCAGTCCCCTATTAGATTATATTTGCTCCTTTTCTCTCTCACGGAATCTACTGTTTCTCAGAGGAGAAAGATCACTGCTGTTTACAACACCTTGCGCAGTTGGATTTTCATGTTCTTCCGTCATTGTGACACCTCATAGAATAAAGCTCTCACACTGGATCCTCACTCCAAAGCCTTGCTAACCTCGTTTTCGCCCGACCACACGCACCAGCCTCTGCCCTGCTCTGCAGTGCCCCCTGCCTGCCTTGCCCCGCAGTTCAGCACAGCCTGAGCTGCAAGGTCGGGAAGGAGAGGCGAGCCTCTGCGCCAGGCCTCAGGGCAGTTCCCGGATGAGCTCCTGGTCCACCAGAGTGCTCTCCCCCAGTGTGCTCACCCGGTTTCCTAGGCTCTCATTCCTCTGATAGAGCCACTGTGAGCCCATCCCGGATCAGATAGTCACGTGCTTTGATTACCAAGAACTTTCTGTGAGGAAGAATGGCCACATTCCCAGTGTGTATGCGCTGACTTGAGAAGCCGATCATGGAACTTGTGGAAGCAGTTTCAAACTCTGAAGCTCAGGTACAGGCGAACACTCGATGTGTATGGTAAAATGTATTGGAGAATCTCCTGGGTCTGAAGTCATGTTTTAAGGACAAGATGCTCACGATAAGTCAACTGTTCTATGAAATGATTTTATCACAAGGCGGAAGTTACAGATTGTTTCAAGTGTGAAAGGTAACCTTCACTTAAAGCTTTCTTCTACAGAGTGGTTTAGAAAAGACACACAATGCCTATTTCTCGTCTGTTTCTATGTTGTCAGATTGCTCTTACTAAATGTATTTGCCTATGCAAAGGTCTATTAAAGCTTAGAAAAAAAGTAATGGTAAAATAACTTATTTAAAAGAATTATTACACTTCAAATGGTAATGGGTCTTGGGGGGCATGTAACAAGGTATTCTGAAATAATATGCTACTGTACAATTCTAATATTCTCACTCAAAAACATTCTAATCTCTGCTTCCTCCAGTGTAGATTTCGCTATGGTAACACTGATGCGTGGTATGCTTTGATATTCTCAGGGAGAAATGATGGTTGCTTCCTGGTGTTGAGGATTTTACCTCCTTTATCTTATTTTATGCCATTCAGTCTCTTGAGTAGCTAGGATGACAGGTGTGAGCCACTGGCACCTGGCTAGACTTGGGATTTTTAGGAGATAGTAGTGATTTATAGCCAAAATACAGTTTGACCTCTCTCGCTCCCCGCCCCCACACACCAAGATGGCTCAGCCCTCCACTGAGTCATATATCCTCCTCTTGGTACAGAAGGAAGGCACACTAGCACAGGGGTAAAGGGTGGGACATTGCCACTGCTGTTAGTAAGAACCTTAAAAAACAACTCAGAAAAGTGGTCTCCTAATTACAAGCACCTTTAGCCAACAGAACAGCCAAAGGAAGCACTGACAGGATGTTACGTGTGTGTGTGTGTGTGTGTGTATGTATGTATGTATGAGAATGTGAATTTGGAGCTTTGACTTGGGGCTTCATGCTCTCTCATTTCATTTGTGCTAATGCTCTGTCACTTGAACCATACCTCCACTTTCTGGCTTTTTAGCTTGGACTGGCTTCAAACTGATCTTCAGATCTCAGCTTCCAGAGTAGTTAGGATGGCAGGTGTGAACCACCGGTGCTTAGCTATCTGGGGCTTGAACTCTGGGCCTGGACATTGTCCCTGGGCTCTTCAGCTCAAGGCTGGCGCTCTACCACTTGAGCCGCAGTACCACCACTTCCCTGTTTTACTATTTCTGAGGACTTACTGCTATGATTTCTCAGCCATAAATGTATCTCGTTTTTCTACAAAGAAGAAGCTTGAAATAAGGGGTTCAACTTCAGTAAGAAAGGAGGAAACAAGTGCTCGTATTTTATCCTTGGTTTAGAAAGAGAGATGAAAGAAAGAGGTGTGTCACCAATGTGTCTTTATCATGAAAGGGAGAGATTCGATTCTGGTGGATGCATTCCTAACTGCACTGACAGCCAGGCTTTGTCCTGCTCCTCAATCAGATCAGCTTCTGTGGTTAAATTGTTTTTATTAATTTACAAGGAAATAGTATTCGAATGACAACACGGGAAGCGGAGGGACATCACAATGGCGCTGACAGCAAGGGGAAAAAGGCCTGTTTGTTCCACGAGCAGTGGAGAAGTCTGGGGCTGGGCAGGTTTCTGTCTCTGGGGTCCAGATGGCCTTTCGTCGTGGGTGTGGTTGGCGGACGGGCTGGCCGGGGGTGGGGGGGACCAGCCCGGCCTCTGCACCTGCGTCCCTAGGCGTCCGAACTTTTGCTCTCAATGCCAAACAATATCTGGAAGACGTGCTCGCTTTTGTGCTTCTTGAGGAACTCCAGGAAGCGGCCCAGGTCCATGTGGTAGTCCTTCCGGAGCCCGTAGTCGCCGTGCGCCTCCAGCAGCAGCTCCCCGAAGGAGTGGAAGAGGCGCAGGTCGTGGCCGTCGCCCTCGGTCTCCACGCTCTCGGCGTGCTTGCAGGAGATGTGCCTCCAGCTGGGGTAGCGGATGGTGCGCCAGAACTCCTCGCAGCCCTCCTTGAAGCCCTCCACGCAGATGATGCCCGGCTTGCCCGTCATGCAGAAGCCGGTCACGTCCAGCCGCTTCCCCGCTTCCAGGATCTTCTTGCGCAGGTCCTGCTGGTAGATGTGGTGGCTGTAGATCCACATGCGCAGGAAGGTGTTCTTGACGGGCTTGGCGCGCGGCGACGGCGCGCTCTCTGGCTTGGGGCGGAGGAAGTAGGCGGCGCCGTGGTCCCGCAGCCACTGCACGGCGGCGCACACGCACAGCTCCCCGGGGTCGAAGGCGCCCAGGTAGGCGGTGAGGTCGTCGTTGAGGAGCAGCTGCTGCGCGCGGTCCAGCTGCGGGGACCGGACGAACAGCTGCAGCGCCGCGAACGGGTAGAGGTGCGGCATGGCCACCTGCAGGTCAATTGTCACCTTGAAAGCAAGAGCAAGCGGATTTAGTCCCCGGAAGTCCCCCCCACGGCGGCCGCGGGACCCGTGGAGGGCTCCCCGCGCCGTCCCTTCCACGCATGCGTGCGCTGGCAGGAAGGAGCGAGGGCCAACGCCACCCCCTGGCCCACCACACGCGGGGGGCCGTGGGGGAGGACAGGCGCACGAAACCAGCAGCCACTCGGCATTCCCAGGGCAGCCCAGGCTCCGAGGGGTGACAGCTAAAGGGCGAAGTGGACTCCTAGAGCATGTCTTCTGTTTGGTTGGTTCTGGGACTTGAACTCTGGGCCTGGGCACTGTCCCTCAGCTCTTCAGCTCAAGGCTAGTGCTCTACCACTTGAGCCACAGCGCTACTTCCGGTTTTCTAGTGGTTTATTGGAGATAAGAGTCTCACAGCCTTTCCTGCCCCGGCTGGCTTTGAACCGCGATCCTCAGATCTCAGCCTCCTGAGCAGCTGGGATGACAGGCGTGAGCACCCACGCCCGGTGCTAGGGCAGCTCTTATGCAGCCTGTCCACGTGCCGATGCCAGGGGAAAGCAGACCCAGGGGCACATTCATTTACATTTAGGATGTAAATAGGATGCATAGGATGCGCGCCAAGTGTCCCCAGGCCTCTGCTTGGACAGCGCCTTGGTCCCCGCGCCTAGCACAGGGCGGGGCGGGAAGGAGGCTGGAAGCAGCGCAGATGCAGCAGCCCGGTTGCGAGATGCACGGGGCCGTGGGAGCGCAGGGCCGTGGCTGACCGGCGCCACGCTCACGAGAAATGCCGGTACTGACGGAGCCCCAGCGCCTCCGGTCTGCTCCCCCCCTGCTGGGGCCCCACGTGTTCCCCGATCTCCCCGGCCCGGGCACCCACCTTGGGTTCCTCCATCTGGAGCGTGATCTCAAACTCAATGCGCGGCGGCAGCGCCTCCCTGGCACCGCCCAGGAACCTCCTCACCGCTGTCAGCGCGTTCACGTCCTCCAGCCGCACCTCGCCGGGGCCCGGGAACATGGACAGCAGCATCTCCATCTCCACCAGCTGCAGCTGCAGGCTGTCCCGCACCGAGGACTCCATGGCGCCTGGAGGCGGGGCCGGGGCACAGCGGGCAGTCAGCGTCCGAACCCCCCCCACCCCTCTTCCGCGCAACCCCCCCCTGCACACACGACACCCCCCTGCTGCGCGCACACGACACGACACCCCTGGCTGCGCGCACACAACATGATACCCCCCCCCG